AGTCACTCTCCAGCTCTCCTGGAGCCCCTTTAGGCACTGGAAGGGGCTCCAAGGTCTCCCCAGAGCCTTTTAGCAGCTTTTCCAGTACCCAAAGGGGTTGGCACCTTCTCACCATCATTGTGGCCAAGGGGCTGCAGGAGGAGGCAGCAGGAGGAGGCCGTGCTGGTGCTGTCTGAGCAGGGAGGTGCTGTCCTTCCACCTCACCACCCAAAACATCCCATGCTCTCCCTGCAGCAGCAGTAGCTCAGGAGCCAGCAGCCAACATCTGGATTTCTCCATTTGCCGTGTCTTGGGCTCGCTATTCTCAAGCCCTGGGTGTCCCTGACCTCAGGGTGCAGGTTTCCCTGCTCTCAGCATCTGGCTCTCCCTGCACCCAACACGTTGCTCTTCCCATTCCCAGCATCTGGGTTTCCCTCTCTGGAGCTGGGCAGGCCCAGGGGCTTTACATCCTGCCTGGAGGACCTCACACTTCACTGTTTCAGTTTCTAAGTGGCCAAGGCAGAATGTCACAAGAAGGGGAAGAGAAAGGAGAAGAAAAAGCTGCCTGCAGCCCCCAGGATGGCTATCTGGGGGGATTTTAGGGAAGGAGGATGATAGGTCTGAGACCAGAACAACAGCAGTAGAGTCCCTGACACTGACCTCCCCATTGAACAAGCCTTGACCCACTCCAGAAAAAGCCAACACCACCCTGCCTGCTCCAGCATCCTGAAATCCTGCACCTATAACCCACTTCCTAGGCTCCCTTTGCCTTCGAGGGTCACTCACTGACACAAAAATTCAAGTTTTTTCATGTTTTTTTCAAGTTTTCTTGAAACCAAAACAGGTGAGAAGTACTGCAAACCCTCTGCTCCTTGGTCTGTAATTCAAGCAGGGTTTTTTGAGCTGCTCACAACTAGGATGTTCTAGTTCCCCAGCAGAGCAAATTTCAACCACCAGATGTGAGTTTATCAGCACAGCCTCAACTTCTCCAACATTTTTTTTAAATACTGTGGCCTTTCTGGTGGCCCACAGCTGGGATTTCCAGCTGGGAAAACACCAGCCATGGAGACAGCCCAGTTGTGAGCTGGAGCCTGTCCTGCCCTCCCCTGGTGCTGCCAGCACTCACACTGCCAGAAGGACCATGACATGTGGCATTCCTTTAAATCCCCAGCTTGGGGGAGGTCAGGGATTTTTTTTGAGGCTCTCAGCTTCTAATTTCAAAGTCTCTGCTCTTCACAGTCATGGAGCCACAGTAGCTCAAGTAATGTCTGGACAGAGGGATATTGAATTCAGCCTTTCCTGGCTCCTGATGGGAATGTTCGGGTTTTCTCTTTCTCTTGTGCTAATGCTGAGGATGAGGAGGTGAAACACATCTCAAAGAGCTGCCCTGAACCCAGGTACCTCCTCAGCCAAAACCAGGGATCGGGAGAAGCAGGGAAGTCCCTGCAGGTAATGGACATGGATGTGAGCAGGAGAGCAAAGGACACAGGGCTCCAACTGCACTCTCACCCTGGGAGGAGTGAATGAACCTCCCAGGATATCCTGGAAGAGCTGATCTCGTGGGCTGTCCCCAGACCATGGCAGCAGCCTCATCCTCTGTGTGTCCCATGGAAGAACCTCTCCAGCTTCTCTTCAACCCTCTTCAATCTACCTTTGCTCAAAGGTGCCTCCCCTGCCCCCAGAAGTGTTTAACTCCATGAGAATGAGACCAACTCCCAATCCAGGGGTATTTTGGGAGATATGCAGAAGCTTTGCTGCTGGCAGTGGGCTCCCTGTGCTGGAAGGAACATCCCTCCCTCCCCACAGCAGATGAATTGCAGGGAAACAGCACCTACATCCCCCAGGGAAACATCAACCTTTCTGAAGTAGGAAGGAAAATATTACAGTTACAATATTACAATTCCAGGTCTTAGCATGGGACAAACTGTGCCCAGATCCATCAGATCAGAACAGTGAAACGCTCCCCAGCCGTTGATGGTGAGCACCTCGGGATCCAAAACGTGACCACTGAGAACCAAGGAAGGTCATGGCTACAGGGAACAGCATCTAACACACAGCACGGGGCTGAGGGGAAGAAAATAAAGCCAGAAATGCAAAGCAGAACTACCAAAACTTGAGAAAATCTTCAGGGGAGTCATTTTGGAAGTGGTCACTAGGAGCATCCCCAGAGCAGCTCTGCTCCTCACCGTCCTGAGCCACGGTGGCTCTGCGGGGCCAGAGAGAGCCCAG